GTGGAAGGCTTGTTAATACATGTACATATATATATTTATTCTATTTAGAGTCTAAGTTTTTGGTGAATGCATCGAGAATGCGGCAAAATGTTTTCGTTTTTCCACAAATAAATAAACGCTTGGCTAAAATATTACAACTAATTAAGGACTCCAATCAGAAAGAGATGGACTGAGTTATGGATAAGACAGAGACGGCGCGAGTGGAAGAGCGAGATGCGGCTTATTGCTTTCTCGAGCTGGAGGCAAAGATTTTCTCGCAGTGCGTGATCAGCGAGGAGAGCATAAATATCTCCTCCGTGAGATTCGTCATATGCTGGGGCGTGGCTATCAGCGTGGGCGCAAACACAGTTGCCAAATTGTGCTCATTCATCTTGTTGACGGCATAGTGGGAGGCGACGCTGCAATGGCAAAGGCAGAAGAATTGATATCAAATATGGACTATGGATACCGGACAGGATTCGATTTACCGCTTCAGATGCTCCAACATATACTGCAGGCAATTGAAATGCGCCGGTGGCAGGCGACGCACGGCCTCCGCCATAAGCTGGAGCTGCTCCGCGGGCGATCCACTGCCTGTGGGAAGGGACATTCGTGAAAGTTCCAAATTTCTCAATTACAGCTCAATCGCTGGCTACTTACGGGCTGCAGCCATAAAGCTGGGGTAGGCCTGGAACGTGATCAGCGGCACGGGCAGCAGGCGCAGGTAGAGCTTCAAGGTGCCCGCAATGACATTGACATTGCCATATGCGCCCTCGGACATGTCCGTCTTTTCGCCATCGCGGTCCAGGGCCAGCTTGAGCGCATCGATCTCATCGGCAAAGCCGGAGACGCGATAGATGCCCTCTTGGAGCATGCCACGCGCCTCCACCTCCTCCACACAGCGGCGGACCACGAACGGGATGTTGCATTGATGCAGCTGCACCATGGTGGTCAGATCGGTGCCAAACACACCCCGTATGCACTTCAGATCGGGCACACACTTCGGAGGCACCAGCTCCGAGCATTTGTTGTGCGCCATGAAGCCGCATGCATCACATTTGACGCCCTGCGCCGTAAAGCCCCACAGGAAGTTGGCACAGAACTCACACCAGTTCAGACCCTTGAACGTGTGCACCTTGAAGTTGTGGGGCTTCTCATATACCAGCGGCATGGGATCCTGTTGGGGCAGCTGCTGCTGCTGCTGCTGTTGCTGCTGGTCCTGCTGCGGCTGTGGCGGACTGTCCTGCACTGAGGGCATCGGGGCTGCTGCATCGGATGTGTCCACACTGGCTGATTTGCCCAGCTCATTGGAGAGCGCGCGCAGCTTGCGACGATTCAGCGTCATGTATGGACTCTGCTGGTAACAGTTTTTGGTTTGCTGATTGATCTGCTGTATAATGGGGCTGGCATATAGCTGCATATGGAAGTTAATTAGGCCATCGGCGACCATCTCATGCACCGTCTCATAATGTTTGTCCTGCTCGCGCAAATGATGGCCGCTGCCCGGCTTGTGGAAGACCTTGAAGTGTTTGCAGCGTTTGTTGAAGCGCACGCTCAGCGTATAGTAGCCATCCGTTTTGGGGCTGCGCCGCACCAGGTAGCTGCCGTCGGGGGCATTTGCCAGCAGCTGCTCCGCCTCCAGGTGTCCCATGACGCCATGATATTCGCTGCCATAGAGACGCACCGCCTGGCTGTTGTTTTCGACGGCGTCGGCGGTGCTGTTGGCAGGCGGCAGAGGTAAGGTGCGCTGACAGCGCACAGGATGGGGTGCCGGTGCGTCCAGTTGTATTTTATACACTGCAATCCGGTGCACTTAATCAATAAATGGCAGAAATACAACAAATTATTACTCACATTCGGGCTTCCAAACCTTTTGCACTGGCGAACTGGGTTCGCCACCTCCTGCCAATGTGGCTACTACGCCGGCTGTTTTCGGCATGGCTCAAAAAGGAAGCGCAACTAAAATAAATTAAAACAACGCTAGGCGCTAATTAAGGAAAACCAGTTAAGCACTGCTTTAAATCCATAAAGCTCAAATTGAATACAACATATTTGCTTTTGTTTATTTCTATACTGTGGCTCGGCCAGTGTGACCGGCAGATGGCATGGTAAAAATACCGTTAAAATACCGCAGCTACAATAGGCGACTCATTGGTTAAGTCAACACCTAGACAGCGCATTGAGTTAATTTTGTTTAATAGACATCATTTTCAATTACTCACAAGAGCCAATCATGAATGTTTTGTCATTTTCTCGGTACGCATTAATCATCACTGCATTAAGTGCGATTGGAAATATATTATTAATGCCTCAGTTGCTGCAAAGCTTTGCACTTAAGAGTGACATAAAGCTAAATGCTATAGCCCTGTACTTTCAATTTTCGTTGTTAATTTGAAATATTGGCAGCAAAATAAGTAAAATGCAGTTTTATTGTTTATATGTTTCATATATTTTTTTAATAACTTTAAGTACGTTTCTTTTGTAAAAAGATCTACTTTCATTCGTTTCAATTATTAAATATATATTATTAAATTATTAAAAAAAAAGTAAAACATGTAAAAATTTGAAATGCGCATTAAGTTCAATTATACGCTTCTCTCTCTAATGTATATACATATATATATATACATAGATATCAAAATCATTAATTAGCAATACTTGTTACGATACTCGTTAAAGACTTGAGTTCCATTACGGATCTATATATGTATGTGTGTTGTGTGTGTGTGTATGTGTGTTGCGTGTATATTTGTGTGTGTGTGTGTGTGTAGAGAAATAAAGATAAGTTTTTGTTTTGAATAAGAAACTCGAACAATTTAGTATAATACGATGCGACCTCTCCGAGGATGTGCTTTACCCTGCTTGAAACAATGGTTAGTTTTGTGTGCTGTATGTAGGTCGTCTCTTTGTCGTCATCGATGTTGTTGATGTTGTTGTTGTTTTATATGGAATCATATCAATTTGCCGTGAAATGCAAGAATATACAAAAATATACAAATATAAGAGAGAAATTAACTTGGAATATTGGAATTGGACTTTTGGCGGAATGAACGGCTAGCTAATAACATGGCAGGTGAGTGTTCCTACTCTACATCTTTTTTTTTTTTTCATCTTGCTGTTGTTGTTGATGTCTTTCATTCTTCTTCATTTCCTCCACTGCCTGGCAATCGACGGCAATGATTTAACCGCTCATAACCATGCGGACAAACTCCTCATAGTTGATGTTGCCCTGCTGATCCTCCATGTTGGCCAGAAGCTGTTCAACTTCCTCGTCGGTGAGCTTCTCACCGAGCGTGGTCAACAGGTGGCGCAGCTCAGCGGACGATATGTAGCCACTAGCATCCTTATCGAAATGGCGCAAGCCCTCAATGAAATCGTCGGCTGTGTCGCCGGAGCGCGCCTTCGATATGGCCTGATAGATGGGCAGAAAGACCTCGAACGAGATGCGCTCGTCCGGCTTCAGCTGATGGGTGCACTTCTTCACATCCGATTCGGTGGGATTCTGGCCCAATGCACGCAAGCATTCGCCCACCTGGCTCAGCTGAATTTTGCCATCGCCGCGATTATCGAATAGGTTGAAGGCCTCCTGGAATTCTGCAAAAGGGCAAAGCAAATGTCGATTAGATAGAGATACAAGAATAGAGATAAGAGCTAGGCAAAATATATATGTATGTATATCTGCAACCTTCGAGCGTGGTAAAGGTGGGCTTCACGTGTGCTGTGTAATAGTACATGATGTTCTCTGTGATATTCGATCTCAATTAATTACACGTATCTCAACTGTTTGCCTGGCTGCACTGCCTGCTACTGAGTCGATGCTGCAACAGATTGCGCAGCATGCGGCTGCGGCAGCAGAGGTTGTTGCTGTGCTCATTGATACCCTGCCAAAGGGTACTTTATGGAAATCTTTAAGTGTGCAACAGCAGTTATGGATATATATACAGTTACTGCTGTATATAGACTCTAGCTCATTCTTGACTATCATTCTGTATGAATACTTGATTGATGTCAGTTTCGGATAGATTTTAGATCAGCATAGGTTTTTTTAGCTACTTCATCCTCTTCATCTCTCTTCTCTGCCTACAACTATGTAAGATTATCAGATATAAATATATATCCGCCATATGCCCTAACAATTGGTTGACTCTCCTGAAATTGCTGATGTCTGAGGAATATTTGCCTTAGCTAAAGATATACATGTATACACACATACATATGTATATCTATCTCTGCTAGGGCATTTGCTCTTCGCTATGCCGCAGCTCAATTTTCGCTCATTTTTTGTTTATTTCTTTGGTTCTGCTGTTGTTTTTGTTGCTGTTATTAGCCGGCCAAAAATGGCATTAAATACAACAACAGAATTTTGCCCATTTTAGGCAATCGTCGAGCGGCAGCAGCAACGATGCGTCGTGCCCGACGTTCAGGTAAATCAATACGTGCAATGCGGTCAACTGACGTCACTGCATCAACAGCAACAACAACAACAACTTATCGCTGTGCGACAAGCAATCGAGTAGATTTTGATTAAGTTATCAGAATGGCGAAAAATTTTAACAGCATATTGCGTAAAGTAAAAACCCAATGCTGAGCGGGACGATGTCGGAGTCGGGGGGCGGGGCGTGGCCAGGGCCATGTGGCGTGTGTTGACCCACAAAAGGCGCCGTAAATGGCAGACAGCGCGGCCAACATGGATATGGCCAAAAACGTTGAATGTTTGTGTCTCGACGTTCAATGCTCAATGCAAGCGACGGCAGCTGCAGTGGCAGCTGTTGCAGTCGCAGCTGAGACGAGCTCGAGGCAGTTTGCGCCGTTGTCCTGGCGGAGCAGACAGTCGGTCAGTAAGTCCATTCAATCTGCCATTCTGTCAGCCAATCAAATCCTTCAAGATGTCATTTAACTGTAAATCGCTATTGCTTTGCGCGTTCGTTGTGTGAGTCATTGACGCGATCGTATGGCTGCTTTCGTTGGCCGCTTTATGTGTTTATTTTATCAATGATTCATGCGCCGCATATGAAGATGTGTAACACATACACATACACAGCCACACACGCACACGCGAGCATAGTCAGACACAAAGAGACATGTTGACAACGTATACACAAATACTTTTGTGCTGTTTTGTGGTTTTTTCTTTGCCGTTTTCGCTGCTTGCCAAGCTTTGAGTTGGCACTTTGAACTTCTGCGCCCGTTTCCAAACCAACACCCACTTACACACACGCATTCCACAACATTCGCACACACACACATGCACACACACGCATACGCATACTCACCAGCCAACTGATCCTCGGTGTATGCTGCCTGTAAATAAGAAGAGAAAAAGACAACAATTGTAAAAACAAACGAAACATATTATTTGCTGTATAAAAAATAGCAGCAGCTGTGCCAACTTACCATATTGATTAAAAATGTGGGTAAAACACAACACAAAAACACGGATTAAATGAATGCCTAATGCACTTAAACGAAATTATTTATTGGTGATGGCCACCAGTGCTGCCAAAATAATCGGAAATGTTATCGATGATATCGGACTGCCAACAAAGGTGCTATTGCCAATGCGCCTTAACAGCACTGAACGTATTTACCAACACAAATAATTTTGCTTCGAATTACAAATTTTAATTTTAATTTTTTAATTTTTTTTTTTTTTGTTCTTATCCGAATGTTAAATGTTAAAAAACCACTTAAATTTACATTACGGTGTGCAGTATTAGCTGCTTTTTGCCGGAAAGGTTTTTGTTTTCAGATTTGACATTAAAATTTTAAAACTAAATTTTCACGATTTAAATTCAAAAGCTTATGACTACAAATATATCAAAGCTGTAGTTGACTTTGCTCGTTTTTTCCTGAACAACTTTGTTTTAGCTTAATCCAGTTTACTTATATGTATATTTCATTCAGTTCCTCTTCACAATTAAAATCATTAAAAGACAAAAACAAAATCTTTCACAAATGATAGCAAAAAGGTCAGACTATGATTAAATTGTTTTTATTTTAAATTTACATTCCTTGCACGCTTGTTGCTCTTGTTTCTTGTGTGAGAGTTAACTTTGTGTGTGTCGATTCATACTTAAATATAATTTTAAGTAAAAGTATAAAAATTAAAGGATTTTCATAGATTTCTTGTTTTTGTTTTTTAAGTGGCCAATACATTAGCTAATAAATATTTAAATATACATAATTGCAATCAATTAGTTGCAATTGTAACTTAGAATGTTCCATTTCTGCTGAATCGCGTTTTTAGATGACTTTTTTTAAATTAAAAAAAAAAGGGTCAGTTAAAAATAGTTTTAAAGTAAGATTATTAAAGAAATGTGTATGTGTGATTTTGTGTGTGTGTGCTGCTGTTACAAGACACCATCCGCACCCTATGTGTCGGACTTCCAGAGCTTGATGGTCTTGTCATTCTCCAGCGCAGCCGATGCAATGATATTTTCTGTGGGATGACAGGCGGTGCAGAGGACGGTATCCGTGTGTCCTTGCAACTTTTGTACTACCTCTTTGCTTTGAAGATTCCATATGTAGACCATGTTGTCCTCGCTGCCGCTGACAATCCACTGCATAAGAAATAATAAATAAATAATGAAATGCTGCAATTGCATTAAGAATTCACAAGTTCACAAGCCCACCTTGCCGCCAGTTACAGAGAAATTGGCAAATATGCAATACTTCTCGTTCTTGTGACCCGTGTAGGTCTTCAGACATTTGCCTTTGGAGTAGTCCCATAGCTTCAGTGTGTTGTCAAGGGTGGCGGCCAGTATGTATTTGCCGTTGGGGGAGAATTTGACAAAGCTAACGGGTGGATTGTCATCATCGATCAACGTCTTCAGGCACTGTCCGCTGGCCGTGTCCCAAATGCGACAGAGCCCATCATAGCTGGAGCTGACAATCAGCGAGCCATCACGATTGAAATGCACTGCCGACACGGGATCAGAGTGAGCGGGCAACGTCTTCAGGCATTTGCCTGTGCGCACATCCCAAATGCGTACGCTCTCGTCGAAGCTGCCAGACACAATCAGATTCGACTGTGGATTGAAATTGCAGCAGAAGACATAATTGCTGTGACCCTTGAGCGTCTTCAGACTCTTGCCGGTGCTCAGCTCCCAGACTTTGAGCGTTTTGTCATCGCTGCCGCTGACCAAAAGCCGTGAGTCAGAAGACCAGGCCACATCGCTAATGCCCAACTTGTGGCCCGAAATGGTTTTCTCGAATTTGCCATCATAGGCGCCCCAGATCTTTATGAGTTTGTCGGCAGCTGCAAAGCCCAAATGTTAATCCAAATTATTAACAACAATTGTGATCAACTTACACGAGCTGGCAAGCCATTCACCATTTGGGCTAAACTTTACGGCGGAGACGGCCTTGGTGTGACCGGCAAGTGTAAATTTGAGCGTATAATTGGGCTTAACCGACATCGAGCTCTTGTTCGACGTTGTGTTCGTCGAAGTCGATGACACGGATGGCTGCAGCGTGTTTGGTCCACTAGGCGCCGTTGGCATCGGCTGCTGTTGCTGCTGCTGTTGATGCACAACGCCGGGATGGCCGGTATGAACGGCTCCAATGGGCACCATGGCGTAACTTAATTCCGTTTTTCAATTTCACTCAATGCTGGACTCTGCAAATATATTTTTCTATTCGCATGTTACTCGTTTATCTTATGCTCAATTGCCACAACATCAACGACAATCATAATAATAAAAACAATCTAACCACGCGGTATTTTTTTTGGTTATTTGCAATTCAATTTGCCTCTAACGAGCAAATGCCGCTCTCTCGTCGACAGAGTCTGCGCTGCCGCTGTCGCTGCGGCTGGTTGCAATTTTCCCCGTGTTTTTTTTTTTTCACCCTCTCTGCTTGCTGTTATTGTAGCGCGGCGTTCTGCTTCTTCTACGGCGAATGTTTTGCAAACAGCGTTTGTTATTGTTGCTCCCTTTTATAATTACCTATGGCCGATGATGGCGCCTGTGTTTGGTTGTAATAGATGGTGCAATTGGATGCCTTTTTGCCGCTTTTGCTTTCAACAAATTCAATTTGTTTGCTTTTTATTCGCCTGCCTAAGTTTTGTAGCACGTGCTTCTTCTTACCACTGTAATGCGTGCGTGAGCAAAAACATGGCGCGTTCTTGACAGTTGACAGTTTACGGCTGTTCACAGTGTTGAGCAGCGGCAGCGCTTCTTTGCCGCACTGGACACTGATCATTGCGGACAGCGGCTGCTTGCTATAAGATATACGTTCAAAAATAGCGCGCTCTTTAATGTTAGTTTAATGGTTATTTTATTTTATATTAAAGATATATGCTAATAAGCAAAATGTAAACACATTGCATCAGTGTGTTCAATTATCAATAGAATTGTTAATACTATTTTCCAATTCCAATTACAATTTAAAATTAAATGATTTGGCACAAAAAATTCTACAGTTACATTACTTTGTAAAATAAACATTTGCATTAATTTAACTTGATTGTAGGCCAGTTGCACCATTTACATACAATCGCCGGTAAATTGTGCAAAGTTTGCACAATCAAAACATGCATGAGCACAGAATCACACTCAGACATACATACATACATACATAACTGCAAATATAGATAAATTGAAAGGTAGGAAAAACTTAACCTGCAATTGTCATCATAAAAATGCCGAAATTGCTGATTGATCGTGACGCAGGCACTTTTCCTGAAAAAAGAAAGAAATATGCAATATGTAGCTATTATATTATATATGCTCTAAAGATTCGTTCAGATTTAGACAACAGGTTCTAAGCCAAATATTTGCTTGACATTTGCTACCGATTTTAAATATAAGTTGTTTTTCCACTCTGTTGATTGACCTTGGCTTTAAAATTTGTGTCTAACATATTAAGCGGGGTTTGTGTTGTTTTTGTTTTTTTTTTTTCTTTTGGCGCACTTTTTGTTAACTGCAAAACCGAATTTTCTCAAGTTACACAAAACGAGTGTGTGTAAATGCTCGTATGTATGTGTGTGCGTATTTGTGTTATCCAAGGTCAAACAGTTTTCAATAAAAGTAACATACAAAATACATATGTATTTAGCTTGGTGTCATGTGCGGGGTCTTTTGTATTTGCTGTTGTTATTATTGTTTTTAAAGCTGCGTGCGTCTATTTTACGACTGCATTAAATATACGAGTACGCTAAAAAGTATGGAAATGCCCTGCGAAGCAACTTCTCAGCTTCAGTTCAGTGCGCTTGCACTACCCTTGCAATGCGAGTAGGTTAGCTATATTGTCGAGCTTGGCTAAGCTAGAGGAGCTTAGCTTAAAATAAAAGTATATTTTTATGAACAAAAATAATAATAAAAAGTATAAAAGTCACATTAATTTTCTCCTAAATAATCAAGATCTATGTTTCAGTTTGTTTCTTTTTAATAATACATACATACACATATGTATGTATGCATATTTACGATGCATGTGAGGGCACTCACGCATCTCCATTTGCCTGAATAACTGTTCTCGTTGTTGTTGTGGCTTTTGTTTTCATTAGGCATTCTGCAAAAGTGTCGCTTCAGACTATCGGGTATCATTGTTTCTGTTGCTGTTTCTGTCTCTTTTGTTATTTAGGTGTAGCCGATGTGCTGCTTCTTCATTTTTCACCTTTTTTAATACAAGCTGGGTCTGTGTATGTATGTAGCTGTTGTGTCGCACGGTTTAGCTTGCGAAACACGTATGTATGTATGTATGTATATGTATAGCCGACGAGTCGGCAACGGGGCTGTCAAAAGAAGGGTGTGGAAGGGCGCCAACTGGGGGCAGCAGCGCTGGGCATAGCAAGTGGAGCGCATACGAAAATTGTTTGCCAATGTCGCGATAAAAACGCCGAAAACTAAAAAATTAAATCAAAAGAAAAGAAACATGCACTAACATACCCTTTATTTGAATACGTAAAATAACTTAAGTTGTAACTATGTATTATTATTAATAATTAAATAATACTAATTTTGTTAGCATCAAATATACATATCTGTAAGATTTGCATTTGCTCCGCCGACTTGACTAGCTGGCTTAACATACCCAATATTATCATCATGATAGGGTATTTTAAACGTGCATGGATTTTTACATAGCAACGTGATTAAAAGAAGTTGTGGACGATCACTGGACACACACATACATACATGCACGCTTCATAGAACACGCACACTCTCTCACTCACACACACAGTCGACCTTCCAGCACATGAAACAATTGCAATTGGGTTACGTAAATAGCCCAACAGGCAAAACAACAAAAATTCGCATGAAAGCCCAGCCGTCTGCACTCCCGCTGCGACAATCTCTCTCTTTCTCTCTCACACACATAGGTACGCATGCGCTCACACACACACACACACACACACACAATTAAGCTGACAGCGCTGGGCAGGGAGAACGAGAGACAGAGATAGGGACAGTCTGCAGATCTTGAGTCGTACGACGAGTGCAATGCCTTCACCTAAACTCACATGCTACACACACTCACTCCCCTCTCCCCATCCCGTGCTTTTGCTAAATTTTCGTTTGTTTCTTTGTTTCTGTTTTTACTTTTGCGAGCAGCACCGGCAGCGGCAGCAGCAGTAGCAGCAGCGGCGCTGCCCGAAAAACTTCACACACAAATCAGTTGCAGTCGCGAATTAGCGGCGCACAGACACGGTTTTTATATTCTCTCGGTTGAAAGTCATTAATTGAAGTTTCAACTTGTTCTTTCGGGTCAGTGTTGGAAATGGTGCACATTAAGGATACCGAACAGCTGATGGCGCAGCGCGTGACCGAGCTTCAAGAATTAATTAAGGGGCATCCGCAGCTGCCGTTGAATATTTGTATGTAAAGGGGCAAAAGAGCGGAGAAAGTAAAGGGATAAAAGGGAATATAGAACTGGGCGCAGGACTAAAAACGATCGCATTAATCGATAGTTTACATTTAACTGCCACTGCGTAAATTAACTTTAAGTTGAGTTTCGATAAAAACAGAAAATTTTATATGCAGCTAATGAATAGAATCAAGCCAATATAGAATTTTTATTTAAATATACATATGTACATATGTAATAAATACATGTATATATTAAGCAATAAGTCTCAAGAACAATTGAATATATATTTCTAAAAGATTTACACTTTTAGTAGAATATTTAATTAGCGATAGGTTGAAGAAATATAAAAAAAAAATCAAAAAACGTTTTTAATGAAGTGCAAAGTGGAGAACCAGCACACTTAATTATATGTCTACATTGTCAAGTACTTTGAGCGCTGCAACAATTTAAAGCGCGGCTTATATTAATAAATAAAACCTAGCGTTTAACTAGACGTCACAAGATATAGGAGCATACTCACAAAATTTTAGAATGGGCTTTTGAAACTTGTTTACCTTCCACCTAATATGTTTCCATTATTAATGCGCTAACTTAACCTGAAGAACAGCTTGAAGAAATTCGTTTATCTAGTTATAATTATTCATAAAAAGTCGGTCTTAAAATAGCTTACAATAGCTAACTTAAATATTGAGAATTGTTGCAATTTAAAGCCATTATTATAGTCGTAATTGATATTTTAAGTGATCCAAAGTACAGCTTCAAAGTTCTTTTGTCTCGGGTTATTCCCATTAAACTGGAGGCCCATTCTCTGTGATTCAGTCGCTGTTATTATCTAGACGCAAATCTAGCAAGTCTCTAACCCAAATGAACACATAATCACATTTAAGATTTTGATTGCCCAGCATTACGTAAACCCTGTCCAGGTGATATTCGTGCTTAGCATTTGTCCAGGTGAGCGAAGAGTCGTGTCTCTAACTTGGGCTATCACTTTGATCGGTTAAGTTATTAAAACTTGTATGCATTAAGAATAGGGTATTATGGATTAATGGATGCAGTTGGAAGGCATATGCGAGGGTAGGTTGTACAATTACCAAATAGAAAATGCAGATAAGGGAAGATGGCAAGCAATAAAGATCAGTCTAGAATACCTACTTTAAGTAAGACCAAAGGACTCGGACTCGGAACTAAAGAAGTCTCACATGAGATTTCAAATTTATAGTTTCCTCCGATAGCCCTAACTGTCGATCATCACATTAGCTAAGAGCGAGAACAATTCGAGTAAAGGTCGTATAGAATGCATTTTGTAATGTTTGATTATATCAAGGGTATCTGCTAGTCGGTCAGAGCCGACTAGATCACTCCTCTTGTGGGTTAACTAACTTGAATTGCAACACACGGCCAGTTGCATAACCCGCTGGCGACCACATTAACCACAACTGAATTGCACCTTTTCTGCTCTCTCTCCCTCTCTCTCGGTCCGTTGTTCTCCCGCTCACTGCCTCGGTGGGGCGGGCACCTTTGTGGCAACTGCAATTACCACGTTATATTGATTAGCGTCCACACTGCTGCGTCGCTATCTGCACACGACGCGCGGCGACGTGGCTGCCGCCCAGCATCTGCTCCAGCTGAACTATGCCATGCGCAACAAGCATCCGCAAATCTTCATCGACCGCGATCCAATGGACGCCAGCTCCCAGCAGCTGTTGCAAGTCGCGTAAGTGCATGACCGCGATGGGCTAGAGATGGGCGCGTGCCAAATGCATTCAAATCAAGACGCGATACGCGAAGAGCACGAAAGTGAAGGAAATAAAATAGAGATGCATATAGAGATATTGCATCATCAAAAGGACTCTAGGTAGATCTATTTATACTGTCTAAAATGTATACTGTGCTGTTGTTAAATTTCAATATAGACATACATATGTATGTATGTATGTAGTAATAGTAGTACTCTTATGTACATTTCTATACTTACTTACAAAGCTCATGTCAAACCGTCACATATCTAGCTGTCAATGTCAAAGCTCCGATCCATTTTAGTTCTGCTTAGATTAGGCAATTAACCTATAGATCATGTCAAGGATTCGAGCAGTTTGTAGCTCGCACATTTCCTTTCAAGCATTGACAGAACTTGCTTTAGCCTCTAGTTAGTATCAGGGATTCGATCAACCTGTAGTTCGTGTCAGCGCCTCCTCCGTAGACTAACTGGCACCGATCCGACAGCCGGAGCGAATCACGAGTCGTGCCCATCTCTGGCTGGCGGGACCGTTGCAACCGGTTTGCCACTTTGTGGCAATATCTAGCCAAAGCTAATTGTGGTTTATGTGCCGCTCGCAGAGATCTGGTGCCGCTGCCCGGGCTGACGCCGGACAACAACAAGTTGCTATTTTATCGCCTGATTGACCACGATGCGGACAAGGTGAGCAGCGGCTGTAATAAATCAATTCTGTTCAAACTGTAAACTTGTAACTTGCAACTTGTTGCGTGCCACATTCCAAATGCCATTGCCACTTGCCACTTGCCACATTCCATTGCCAGTTCAACTTTACGGCCGGCATCAAGGTTTTCTTTATGGTCGCCGACTGTCGCTTCGCGACGGAGACGGACGAACGTTTATCCGACGGCGAGATACCCATCTTTGACATGGCCGGATACTCGCTGCGCCACATAACCAAGACGGTGCTCAGCTCGCTGCGCGTCTACATGAAGTTCGTGCAGGAGGCGCATCCGGTGCGCCTCAAGGAGATTCATGTGCTCAACTGTCCATCCTTCCTGGACAAGGTGCTGGCCATCGTCAAGCCGTTCATCAAGAGCGAGGTCTTCAAACTAATCCACTTCCATTTGCCCGGTGCGGATACACCCTACAAGCACATTCCGCGCTCCATGCTGCCGGAGGAATACGGCGGAGAGGCGGGCAAAATGTCCCATCTCAAGGAGAAATGGGTGCAGTTGCTCCAGCAGCAGCGGTAAGTCTCACTTGCCATTCGATTTGAATAGTTGAGTTAACGCGAATGTTTTCTTATGTCAGTGATTATTTGATGGAACCCTCCAACTGGCAGATCAACAAGTGCAAGAGGAAGAGCGGCAGCAGTAGCAGCAGCAACAGCAACAACAACAACAACAACTCTTGCAACACGATCACGCACAGCTTCAAGACGCTGGAAATTGATTGATTTTAGCTTTATTTATATATCTTTACTCTAACTGTACATAGTATAGATGTCTCTACCAAACCTGGGCTTGGCTTTAGTGTATCATACTTCTTTTTTTTTTAAATATAATATTCATACAAAATGATTTGGAAACTTTCGTTACTCCAGTGGTTAACAAACTGTGGACACTCTTTCACCTGGAAAAGGATTCATTGACAATTGCTAGCTTAAGCCTTGGCATCAGAGATCATACATATATCAAATTAGCTTATATGCAATTAAGGACTGAATCACGGACTTTTAACCAGCTGCCTTCATAGCTATTCGCTGGCTAACCTGAGTAGAGATTGTGCAATCCTCACCTGCTTCCACGGATGCAGTTATAATTGTGTGTATTGCAGCTAGTCATTCACGACGTGAGGCACTCGTCAAGGCCTAGCAGCAAAAGACACATATGCTTGATGTGCTGCTGCTGTCCAGGGCAAACGGAACACCATAGAGAAGATTCAGCCGAAGACACATTCATGTTCGAGGGCCAAGATACAACCACAAGCGACGTATCACATCATGCCAACGTCCAGCAGCGGATGTTCTATCAGATAAACGAGATTCTCGACACTGAAAGGCAGCAGCCGATAAGGTCGCAGAATCTAAGCGAGCTCAGGCATAGGTCAAAGAGTCGTTGTCTACCGGTGGCATCGATTCGATATCTTTCATCATGCGCACTACACTAACTACATTGGCCAGAAGTTCGTCATGTTCGAAATGGAGTGCAACGGGTTGCAGCACTTTGAACTGCTGCCGTTGGGACGTCAGCCAAGTCCAATGGTTAGCCTCTTGTTGCGGTCGGTGAACGGCGTGCAGCTACACCGACGCCATTGCCTGGAATAGTAGCTCATCACAATGCACATCTAATGGAAATTAAAGTTATTAATCAGTTTTTACTATCTGGGAATTTACTATTTATTTTTGCTCTTTTGTTTTTGTGTTTACGTTTTCGTCAGCTGATACGGCAAACATCTGTTATTATGGTTCTCTCAGATTATCGCTATCTCAGTCATTCAACGTGCATACCCTCGCGGATTACGCATGGATGATCGGGTACTTTAAACTTTTTGTTAAATTATTCACCACAATATATTTTTTTAAATTCGTTTTAATCTTTACTTTACAATGGAAAAATTAAACGAAATTGTCACAATGTTTAAGAGTGACCATATACAAACATTTTTCACATGCCCTTTTATTTTGTATGTCTATCGAGTTCGAATATATCGATATTATTCTTAAACCAAGGCTAAATTAGTGCCAATTAAACTGAATGAATCAGATCATGCAAATATACCAACGCTCCAATTAGATCTTTTTTTATGTACTCCAATCCTTGTGTGATTTTCTTCTCCTTTTCGTCTATCGATAGTTATAACAATCGCCGCTTTTCAACTTGTTTTGCATAACAAGTTGATATTTTACAGGGCATTTCATGGTCGGTTAATAGAACAATAGAATAAACACTCTTGGGGACATTGTTATAAAACAGATTGTACACATATGCATTTCGTGATAAAGTCTAATTATATTTAGTACACTTGACCGCAAGTCCACAGATGAAAAATGTATACAAGTTTTTATTTACATTCGATGGAGAGTTGTTAAAATGGTAAGTGCGGGCTTTTTAAATAGTCATCTGCACTGACTCTGTGCATTTGACAAAATTCAACGAATAATTATACAATTCAAAGGGGCCATCAAATATCCATATGCAAGTGCACTCACACATATGTAGATAGCAGTGAAATTTAAATGCAATAGGTGATAAACAATAGGTGATAGTTAAATAACGTATACGTAACGAGCATAACGAGTGTTGAAAAATGACAAATTTTTTGAAATATCAAAAAGCCTATCTATAACTTATAGACTATTTAAAATATATTTATAAAAACATAGCATAGCATTTTCTTTCAAATTGAAATTAGTATTACATATCTACAATTTTTAGAAATTTTTTTTTACACATGTACAAACATATTTAGAAAAAGGATAGTTTAACAAATCAAGTAGTTTTTCAAATTAAATTAAATTAGGTTTTATAATAACCATTCTTTTTAGAGTATACAACAATGTTGCTCGGATTGTTGTTGATTGCTTTGCTAGTGGTTGGCCTGCGCTTTGTGCTGCAGCTGATCAAAAGGGAGTGGAGGCACCGTCAGCTGCTGCAGCATGTGGCGCCCAATGTGTCCCGCATACCAGTGATTGGAGGCGTCTGGCAGATGCGCAGCTTCCAGCCGGACAGTGAGTATAAAGCCGCCTGCAGATGTAGTCCTGTGCTAATGATGATGGTCCTCGATGTCAATTAGATCTGCACGAGAAGTTTGCGGAGTATGTGGCGCGTTACGGGCGCAGCTTTGTGGCCACCACGTTTGGACGTATGGTGCTGGTCACCGCAGATCCGAAGCATGTGGACGCACTGCTCTTGAGCAAACAACATCTGCGCAAGAGCGTCGTCTATGGCGCCCTGGGTGGCTGGCTGGGCAATGGTCTGTTGCTCAGCCGGGGCGAGCACTGGCATGCCATGCGCAAAGTAATAACGCCCTCGTTCCACTTCAGCATACTGGAGCAATACGTCAAGATCTTTGACAGCCAGTGCAATGTCCTGGTCGGCAAACTGAAGCCGCTGGCCGCGTTGGGCAGCGAGAGTCCGCAAGCCTTCAACATATATCCTTATATGTGCCTGACGGCCCTGGACATCATCAGCGAGGCGGCCATGGGCGTCAGTCTGGATGCGCAGGAGAATGTGGAGGCGCCCGTGGTGCAGGCAGTCAAGGAGTAAGCGGCATCCATTAATCGAGGTTTTGGCGGCGTCACATATTATTATTCATTTTTCTTGCCGGCAGCGTGACCAACATTTTGGCGACTCGTTTCATGCGACCGCATCTGCTGCCGCCGCTGTTCTTCCGCCTGCTCTGGCCCAGTGGCTATCGCAAGCTGTGGATGGGCATCAAGTGCCTGCACGACTTCACCGACGAGATCATCGAGCGGCGCTGCCAGCTGCTGCACACGGAGCAGCAGGGGACGGCTGCTCTGCTGGACACATTGCTGCAGGCACGTTTGGATGGCGCACCTCTCACAGATGCCCAGATCCGCGACGAGGTGAGCACATTCATCTTTGCTGGTCACGATACGACCACATCCGCGGCGTCCTTTTGCTTGTATCTGCTGTCGCGGCATGCGGCAGTGCAGCAGCGCTTGTACGAGGAGATTCACTCACACTATGGCACGGCCATGAATCGGCCCGTCGTCCATGCTGACTTCGCTGATCTGCCCTATTTGCACTGCGTAATCAAGGAGTCGCTGCGCCTCTATCCGCCCATTCCAGCTGTGGGTCGTTGTCTGGAAAAGGACTTGCCATTAGGTTGGTACACTTAATACTAAATATATATGTATTTAATTTGTATTCTCGGCAGCAGAGACGGGCGAAGCTAGCGGGACACGGGTGCCAGCCGGCACGAATGTCCTTGTGCTGCTCTGGCAGCTGCAGCGCGATGAGGAACTGTACGAAGAGCCCTTGCGCTTCTGGCCAGAGAGGCATTTAGAGAATAGAATGACCGACACGGGATCTGGCAAATACACCACCAGCTATATACCCTTCAGTGCAGGCCCGCGCAACTGCATTGGCCAGCGCTTTGCTCTGCTCGAACTGAAGACAATTGTGATCAAACTGCTACGTCACTTCGAGCTGCTGCCATTGGGCGCGGAGGTGAAGCCTTCAATTAAAATTGTTTTGCGCTCAGCCACAGGTGTTAATCTGGGCCTGAAAATGCGTGCTTGAATGGTATTTGCACTAAACGCTATATAAACGTGATTTAAAATTGATTACGCTGCAGCGATAAGTGCTGCTAGCCACTATCGATAATTATTGCAACGATAAATTAATTGCAGTGCCAGTAAAATTCAAATTTAGGCAAACTGTTCCCAGGCAAAATCTTTTCCTTTATCACAAATGTGCCACTGAAACGGTTTCCAGACAAATTATTTATTCATATTTATTGCTATATATTTAATATTTCTTAAATATTTTAACTATCATCGGCATGCAAATGCATCGTCAGCTGCAATTGCAATAATCGAAGCTATTTCCGGGCAGAGCTGTAGCTGAAGCACCTGTGGCGTTGCCAACTGTATTGAAAATGAACAAATCTGTTCCCATGTATAGTTTAAGTGCCGATTGTAAACAAAAATTGATCCATTGCATATTGTATATTTTGTATATCATTTAAAGCACGAGCAAAATTGTATTTTTTGTGTTATTATTTATTAATTTCTTTGTTTTGTATTTTTATCTTTGTGGCGTTTAATAAACACAAGTATTTACCATTTTGTAGATAGTTAACTTGCTTTGCCCTAAAAGTGTTCACACGTGTCCGTAACATATAATGGATCTACTTAGCTATAAATTATAATGCACACGAGCATTGTATTATGTATATTTATATACATACATATATAGAGCTTTATATATATTCATAAATTTATATATAGGTACACAAGTTTATTTCACTATTCATTTAGCCTAATAGTAAATTGATTTCCAAAAAAAAAAAAAAATAAAGAAACAGAATTAGAGATAGATAAAAACGAAAAGCAAAATATGTTATAAAACAAATGCATAACAAACATTTAACAATTGTGTTTACTTATTATTCTATATATGTGTATATAACATTAAGTTACATATTGTAAGTGTAAATATAAATATATATATGTATATGTTGTGTATTTATATATACACATATATATATGTGTATATATACATAGTTGTAAATTGTACTTGGCGCCTGTTTCATTGTTGCCAAACTTAACAACATTTGAGGTTATGTATGAACAAAAAAAAACCGTTATTGAATTCCGTTTTGCGCTCCAAACATTTTCACAGTGTAAGACTAAAATATTTATTCACCTATGCACATAACAAAAACTTTAAACTTTTTATTAGATTTTTTTTTGTTTTTAATTTTTTTTTTGAGGCTTGAGATTGACATAGAGATGCTGTGTATGTGTGCTATGTATGCTCGTTCTCTATTGTGCTATCTCCCTCTATTTCTCATTCTCGCTCTCTATTGTAGAGTATAAAACATTTAAAACATTTATGC